AAAAACAGAGGTCGAAGACGTATGGTTAAATTTCTATGCATAGAAAGTGATTATGGTATTTGTTTAAGACACCTAGAGAAAAATCTCATTTGAAAATTTTGATACAGATTCGGTTGCAAAACTTAAGTGTGGTATTTGCATTTATGTATTTATGAATATATAATGATTGAGTTCTATGTATATATTTTTTTTGGGTGACCGACTGGAGCAGCAAAGTTATCGGCCGGGGGCACCCGGAACATCGGACAGTCGGAGGGTGGCATGCTGGAGGTATACAAAAGAATTGAGTAGACATATAAAAGGTGAGTGGCATGTATAATGTTTTGGGTGCTATAAATGTAAATATTCAAGTTTGGGTGAGAAATATGTAAAATTTGAAGTTTTAAGTACTGTGTATGTGAATTCCCAATAAATCTGTAAAAATTGAGCGGTTTGTATATAAATATAGAAATATATAGGGGTTGGGTGGTAGGTGTGCAAATCTGTATGTGGATGGAGCGGTAAGTATGTGAATTTATATATAAATTGAGTGGCAGGTATGTAAATGTAAATAATATATATAAGAATTGAGTGCTATGTATATAAAATCTTCCATCTTTTGAGATGGTTTGCTAAAGGCAGGCGTTCTTTGAAGCGGCTGCCTGGGAAAAATTGCTGGTCAAAATAGTTGGTCGTACGACAGGATGCTAATTGGGAAAAACGAATTTAGCAATATAAATAAAGAAATTTTTTAAGAATTGGGTGGTATGTATGAAAATATAAAATTATATAGGAATTGGGTGATATGTATGTTAATCCTCTCTATTTGCCAGCCGGTCGGTTTGGACAAAATAAAGCCGCAGGGGTTGAATAATTTTTCTCCCATGGTTTTGGGTAGGAGCTTGGTGCGACAAGAGGGGGATGCCTGCTGAGAGCCGGCCAGCTTGGGGAGAGCTCCGATCTGATGTAGGTTGTTCGACGGAAAGACAGGCGACCAAAGGTAAGCTGCTGGTCGGAGGTAGGCGGCCAGCCAGTGGTTTGCTGGAAAAATAAATTTGGAAGTATAAAAATGTGCAAGAGTTGAGTGGCATGTTTGAAAATAGTAGAATATATATGAGTTGAGTGTTATGTATGTAAATCTTCCCATTTCTTTCTTCCATGGTTTCAGGATGGAGCAAAGTGATCGGTCAGAGGGGAGTGGTTGGATGGAGTGGTGAAGTGGCTTGGCAAAGTGAGGTAGTCGGTCAGTCGTTTGAGGCGACCAGACGATGAGAAGGTATAGCCTCCTCTTGGAAGAAGCAAGTTGTAGTCATTGTGTCGGCGTGAGGGAATCATAATTTTCTCGAGCTGTTATGCCTGTCAGTAGTTTGACATACGTTCCAATTATATACGATTAAGTTTCTTTCTCTCTTGGCTATGCTTCTTGGGCGTTGGACGAATCCTCTGTTGTATGATCTCTGGTAAGAATCCACTCGTTGTGTGCGATCTTTGAGAGGAACTATATGAATCGTCTATCGTTCTCGCCGGACATGAATTCTCGGTACAGTCTTGGACTACTAATGTGATTAGAGGATTGTCTGTTGCAGTCTTATGAAGCGAAGTTTTTCACTCTACTTAACTTTGTAAGCTTCAATGATTATCTGCGAACACCTTTGGGCCAGGGAGCACCGTGCGCTTGTAAGTTTAGTGTGAAGCTGGGAAAACGTGCCATCAGGCAGCAGTGGACCTTGGATGTGGCCCTCCTTGCGATTGCTCATCCACGACTTGACAACCTTAGAGCTGCTGAAAAGGAGATCCGAGCTGATACACCGCCAGGATCAAAGACTTGCAGAGGGAGATCCACACCGTGCGCAATGACGAAGCGGCGAAGATCCGTCATGCTCAACAGAAACTCAAACCGTCGGAGTAGTATGTTGGTTTATCCGACGTAGAGTTTTCTGTACGATGTACATCAGGTTGTGTCAGAAGAGTAGCGTTCTCGTTGTCGTCGTCACAGAGGACGTCATCCAGCGAGCTGGGCTTTAGTTTTGCCTCATCGTTCTGGAAGCCCGTTTGCCAGACTTTATCAAATCTAGGCATCATTCAGAGGTGTTGTGGTCCTTAGTAGATAATCGTATTCACTACTTCTCGGAGAATTATGATGTAAGGCAGGCCAACCACTTCCACCATGTCATGGCGCTTGCTGGTGACGGAGCGTCTACTTTGGTACCTGCTTCAATGAAGCTTGGAGAAACTAAACATGGTTCCAAT